TATTTTTTTTAACACTATTTAATCACTAGAGCAATTTTTAACAGCCTTTTTTTACCTTTCAAGCTATTTTTGAACAATATTTGATCTCTCGTGCAATTTTTGAGCAAAATTTTAATAATTTCTAACACGATTTTATCTCTCGAGCAATTTTTATTAACATTTTTTATCTTTCTAACAATTTTTAAACAATGTTTTATCTCTCGAGAAATGTTTAACAGTATTTTTTTTCTCGAATAATTTTTGAATAAGATTTTAATAACTTATGATACTATTTTATCTCTCGAACAATTTTTAAACCTTTTTTATCTCTTAAGCTATATTTAAACAATATTTTATCTTTCGATAAATTTCTAACATTATTCTATCTCTCGAGCAAATTTTAACAACTTTTTTATCTCTTTAGCAAACTGCACAATATTTTAACTCTCGACAAATTTGTAAAAATATTTTAACTCTCGATAAATTTTTGACAATGTTTTATATCTCGAGCAATTTTTGTACAATATTTTATCTTTCGAGCATTTTTTAATAGTATTTTATCGTTCGAGGAATTTTTAAACAATGTTTTATCTTTCGAGAAATTTCTAATAGTAGGTATCTCTTGAGTCAATTTTGAACAATATTTTATTTCTCAACAAATTTTTCAATAGAATTTTATCCCTCGAGCAATTTTTGAACAAGGGTTTAACATTTTGTAATACTATTTTACCTTGAGCAATTTTTGAACACGATTTTAACAATTTATAATACTATTTAATTTCTGGAAAAATTATTAAATATTTTTATCTCTCATTAAATTTCTAACAGTATTTTTATCCCTAGAGCAATTTTTGAACAATATTTTACCTCTCAAGCATTTCTAATAATATTTTATACTTTAATCAATTTTTAACACCCTTTTTTACCTCTCAAGCCATTTTTGAACAATATTTGATCTCTCGTACAATTTTTAAACAATGTTTTATCTCTCGAGAAATGTCTGCTATTTTATCTCTGAAGTAATTTTTTACAACTATTTTAATTTCTCTTGCAATTTTTGACCAATATATTTTACACTTCAAATGGAAACATACGCTGAAAAAAGTACTAGATATTGTGTCGAGTGTACTAGAGTACCAGATTCTCAGAGAATGTACTAGATCTAGTACAATTGTACTAGACTGGCAACACTGACCGTGATCCATTTCACCCCGTTTGACGGTACAGTCCTCAACTTTGTTAGGCTAACATTAAAGATATCTATTTGGACCTCGCTAAGAAACTCACTGGTAACAGACATCATCTTGTTAAAAGGAGATATACTACTTGTATCTAAACTAAGTAATGTTTTGTTACTTGGGATTCTTAGAATAATCTTTGTCACATTAAAATTTATATAGTCAATTAATCACAATCTTTGTACTTAACATTATTTAAAATAGAGTACCTACAAAATATATCACAGCCTGTTATTTTATATGAGATCTTATAAGGGTACGAGTATTTTTTATGGCATAAAGGTACCGTAAAAATATTTTTTCAATATGATCAATATGTATGGTTTCCAATATGATCCAATATGATCTGATTTTGGTGGTAATCCTAATTTTTTGTATTTCTGGTTTAAAAACCCAAAGCTTTTATTGCCTTTTTAGTTATGTGTAAGAAATGATTATTTAACTTCAAATTAGACTTAAAGAGAACTCCCAAATTCTTTACCTCATATTCACGATTTAATGTGACATCACAGGTCTTGCGTCTAATGTAAAAAATTAAGAAGCTACTGATCTTTACAACTTAAAATATGCATATGTTTGTAAGTGTTAAATAGACGGATAAAAGTGTTGATTTTTTTACAACTATAATAGAAACCTATTAATAAGATTAAGAGCAATAGAACATATTTCAACAAATTTTTATAGGTACACATATTTTTGTTACCTGATAATCAATAAACAATAAAAATTTTTGGAGTGGCAACAGGTTTATTAATACACAGCTATTATTTTGTTACAAATATTTATATTAAATTATTTATAATTAACATAATAGTTGAATTTATACATGAGCAATTTTCCTTGTAGCGTTGTTTACATTTTAAAGAGAACTATTGTGTTCTACTTTTAGCTGATAAATCATGTACGTAACAATAAGAATAAAACACACACTGAAGTTTATTTGTGGTATTTTTGATCTAAATCCTGTATCAAAATAACAATTTTTCTGTTTTTAAACTGTGCATGTATTACAAAAACTACTTTGATAAAATGTAAACAAAAGTTTGTATTTGTGTACGAAATATGGGTGGCTTGTTCATGGTAGCGAGTTTTTAACCGGATTTATGACAAGTGATAGGTTATATTCCGAAAACATCAGCGCAGTAAAAGCTGCGCGTCTTTTTCCCCGCCCAGGGGGTGTCATTACTGCTAGAATACTAATGCTGGGAAGCAAGTCTTAAAAACTTTGAAACTAACAACCAAAACTCAAGCTTATAGCAGAATCATTTTATATTTTCTATGAATGTTGGTTTCACATCGTTCTTTACTACTTGAATTTGATAAAGTAATGTTATCTTTATATTCCGAAAACAAATACACATTACAGATTTTATCCTTAATGTTAATCTAGACATTTTTACCAACATGATTTTAAAAAAAATCTTCAAGTTGTGTAAATCAAAGACATCTTGAAACTACTTGTCAGCATCTTTCAAGATCAATTACCTTTGCCGACAGAACAAAGTAGTACTTCGTCTATCTAAGGATCTAATATCATAACTATACTTCAAAGTTTTAAAAATTAAGTTATCTCTATTTTCCAGAGAAAACAAAGTTATCTGATGTCAAAAAACAGCTCACCAAGAATTAAAGAATTGAACAATAATGATTTAATTTTTAATAAATAACTGTAAATATGTATTGGCTAGAGTACTGTTCTCTTTTGGGTGTGAGCTAGTAAGACATGTAGCATTGAGGAATGAAAAAGAATCATAAGAAAGCGCATCGAAATTTTAAACTTCTTACAGTCCAGAAGGTTGTAACATCTTCTACATAAAATTTTAGAAAAATTTAGCAATTGTATTGCTTCTCTATTAATGTTTTTATTTGAAAATATTTAAGTTAGTAAGTGGCAATTAAAGATGTAATGAAACAACTATAATTTAAAAAGCCTTAATATTTGTGACACTGTTTTTTAAAATATATGTAAAATCAGAAGCAATAGTCTAAAAGTGGTTTAATTGTTTTTAAACTGTTTGCATAACTCTCAAATAAGATTATTAGTCATGCAAGCATTTCTTAATCAAAAATCTGATGTGTCCAACACATGACTTTCCTATCTAGTTATATAAATGTTTAGAGGATAAACTAAATATATACATTGTCCACATACATCTACCTCGAAACATTTTTCTATATTCATGGAAAACGAAAATACTGAAAAATTTTAATTTCCTACAATTTTTTCATTACGGTCCATTTTAGAAAAATCATGTATAAACAAAAATTATAGAGATCGATATCGCAAACAACTTTTATTTCAAAAACTTTCATAATAAAAATCAGAATTTTGCACATTTTGTCAAATTTCTCGAATACGGACCATTTCAGGAAATTTTTACATAGAACAAAAATTACAGATAATAATATTAGAAGTAACTTTTATTTGAACAATTTTCCTCTCCAAATATAAATAACAGATATATTCCATAAAATATAAAAACGGCCTCCCATAAAGTACCCCCCCAGATGTTCCGACTTTGTCCAAAATCTAATCATTTCACGTCAGGCCGAAATAAACCTTAAGTTTAAAATTTAATGTTTTTTTCTTTATCCGTTTTTGAGTTTTTTTCAAAATTCGAAATTTACACATTTTCTCAAATATCTCGAATACGGTCCATTTTAGAGAAATTATGTAGGGAATAAAAATTATAGAAAATTATATTACAAACAACTTTTATTTGAACAATTTTTATAAAAAAATATTTTTTTTACATTTTGTCAAATTTCTCGAATACGGACCATTTTAGAAAAATTTTGTATAGAACAAAAATTATAGATAATAATATTAGAAGTAACTTTTATTTTAAAAATTTTCTTCTCCAAACGTAAATAATAGATATATTCCATAAAATATAAAAATGACCACCTATAAAGTACCCCCCCAAATGTTACGACTCTGCCCAAAATCTAATCAGCTCATTAGACGCTGAAACAAAGCTTAAGTTTAAAATTTGGTGTTTTTCTGTGTATCGGTTCATGAGTTATGCGTTATACAGACACACACACACACACACACACAGACACACACACACACACACAGACACACACACACACACAGACATCATCGCGAAAATAGTCAAAACGGATTCAGGGGACCTCAAAACGTAAAAATCCGTCGAAAACTCGAGGTCGAAAAAAATCATGATTCCTATACTTTCCTTATATCTGTATACAGATAGGAAAGTAATAATTCTACCCCATGCAGCCTTTTATTGACTCCGAATTTCGAAACAAAAATATCAGAATAGTCCAATTTATGGTAATGGGGTAAATCTACTGAATAAAAAATGCAAGGGTAATACTCTTAGTTGAGAGTCATACAAACATTTTGATAGCAATTAAACCGCTTTTCGACTTTACATCTATTTCAAAAACTGGTCATTTTTCGCCAGGTTGTAAATTATTTGGCATATCAACCCTTTAAACGCATTTAAGCTACATCCCGAATGTTGTTCAAAATACTTGTGGCCGAAATACCTACACCGGAAGCAACAAATTCAGACGACATAAAATGCTTGCTAGGGGATTTTTTTATTGTTATAGACGTCTAGAAGCATATTTAATTGCCAGCAAAAATCTTTTGATAAGCAACTTTAAATTTGCCAGATTATAAGACAGTTTTCACCACTGGGACATGTACATAGTACATAGGACATAGTAATCAAAGTCGACTTTCTTAATACTATCGATATTTTGTATTGAAAAAGAAAGTACTGTTTTTAAGACAAACGAAAAAGTTACCTCCGATAGAGTTGTTTCTTCGGTTTCTTCAGTTTCTTCCTCCCTATTGCCTGCTCCTATAGCGACTGTCTTATTTTCTGGAATAGCAACTTGTGATTTAGACATTTTTATAAATTTGGATTTCTGCTTCTCAGTTTTTCCTTTTCTACTTTAGGATATCTGCAACAAAATAAAATAATTTACTCATTTATTAAAATTTTCTATAAATAATGAAATACTACAGGAAGTCTGATGAGATGTTGATTGGCTTTAATGTGACAATAGCAGTCAAGGGCGGCTCCAGTACAAATTTTCGGGGGGGGGGGGGGACATTGCCTTTAGATCAGTGGTTCTCAAACTTTTTTGGTGACGGAACCAATTTGAAACGCGAAATATGTGACGGACCCTTAAACACATTTCTAAAAAAAAAAATGCTCCGAGCATATATCTCGGTGAGATGAAGTCCATGTGCGCTTGAAAAGGTGGAAGCATATCGAGCGCATCCCTCCAAAAGTGACTTCTTGCCTCACAATATCCTACATCAAGTTCTGCTCCAACCGTGGGGAGACATGTCATTGTAATTAAAGCAACGTCCTTGGTGTAAATATCAAGGGCAGGGAGACTAAGGGTAACTTCCATAGCTCTAGTTGGTGTAGTTTTTATAGCTTTTGTTATGTTGAGACATGCTGTTCATTGAATTTGTTCTAGTTTGTGAATAGCTGTCAATTGTTGGGTTATCGGATGCTAAAAAAGTACACCGTATGGTTAGCATATGCGTTACGGTGGCTATCTAAGTTCGTATGACGACTCTGGGGAAGAGAGCTCAGACTCGCCCCATGATTCGGCGGCATTGTTCATGAGCATTGTATGCTTTTTAGACGAGTGTTTTCTAGGTGTGAGTTCCATGTTAACTTGCTGTCAAAGATGACACCAATATACTTCATTTCTGTGGCAAAATGTAGTTTTATGTTTATGATCTCTGGGAGTTTTAGTTCCACTTTTATCCTTTTTCTTGTGAAAAGGACCATTTCTGTCTTCTTGAGATTGATAGACAAAATGACTAAGTCATCTACATATGCTATTCTATAGAGACTAATAAAACGGCTAATGAGGGTATCTAAGATCATGATCCACAGTTGAGGACATTCCCTCACAACCAAGCCTCTTTTATTCACATCTTTTACACTTATGTTTACTGCTTGGCTTTGAAAGTATATTATGTATCCACTTACAAATTATCTGTGCTTAAAACAAATAAAGGATGTAACATTGTAAGCTTTTAACAATAATTAGGTTCACAATTTTGTACTTTTTCCACTGGTCGATTTGCGAACAGAACCATCGCTCACTCAACGTAACGTATTAATAATAAAACAGTTTCAGTTTGAAATTACTTGTTTCTTTTAGGTATTTTCTTACTTTTTTTAAGATCCGACCGTATGATTACTGCAGTCATCGGTTTTTTTTATTTAAAATACAATTTTTATAGATAATTATTGCTTAATAAATATAGTTTTGCCAAGTAGCTTATCTGACTTATATGGCTGCAAGTCCTTTTAATAATATTTTATAGAGTATCATTTTTATACTTTAAGGTATATTTCTTTTATTTATAATTATAGAATAGAATTCTTTTAAAAATATTTGTTTATCAGGCCATTCTTTATAATTTAGGTCATATACATAATTTTTCTAAAATGGATCGTAATGTAGAAATTTAACGAAATGTTATTGTTAGATATTTTCATTATTTGCATTGGCAATGAATAATGTACTTTTGATTAAAATTTAATAAACTAATTTTTTTATCACAATTTATTCACTTATTTTGAAAATAAAATATAATTCATATCAAAGAGAAATATATAAGGAACTTAAAAAAGTTGAGTTGTTTTTTCTCATTTGGTTGCAACCTCTTGTCAACCATCTGTAAATTTCGTTCAATTTATACGTTCAAAACGTATCTTATCTTATCAAATTAGGCTTAATTTTTATCTCTACACGATGAATGTAAAAGTGCTCAATAATAGGGTTAAATACATGACTTTCCTGTAAAGTTATCAGATATATTGAGTACGGCCCATCTAATCAAAAAATGTTTAGAATATGAATTACAGATAAAATTTATTTAAAACATTATTTATAAAGCTACATTGTTTCATTACTGGTGCAAAACTGCTGTCGTAATCTTCGCCAAATTTGTTTGTATTTATAACCTTTTGCTACAAGTCTGGCTTTGTTCTGAAAAATATTTCCATTACAAATTTTTTTTTTAAATGACAGTTTTAGTAGATGCTAGGCTATATTAAGACACGGTAATAAGGTTCGTCACATTCAATGTCAAAGACCGAAAGTATACATCTAATTCATATCAATTTTTGATAGAAATGCATAAAGGCAGAAGATAAAGATAGTGATACCTGCTTTCTAGTTGTCCATGATATATGATTTTCCCCAAGAAAAAATATTACCTCGGAAATATATTCTGAAATTTACAGTGTATCTTAAATAATTGTCCATATGGTAAATGGAGAATCCTTGACTCAAAATATGATGATTTAACCCAAGGCACTTAGATAAAATATTCCTATTAACCAGTGGCGGCTCGTAGGCACTAGCGGTAGTGGGGCACACACTGGAAAGGAATCCCGGGATTCGTTCTTCCCTTAGGAAAACAAGTTCTCCGCTTAATGCAAATTAAATATATTTCAAAACAAATTAAATATTATAAAACTGAAGACTAACTGCTAGGTACCGCTGCAGTTGTATACTAATTTTTATAGTTGAAGTCCATTCTTCTGGATTTTTGGCTAGCGAAGTGATCGATGACCAGATTATTAAAATTTGGAATGGACCGAATAAGTTTTTTTTTCGATGGATAACATGGCATGACATTTTACTTACAGAACTAAACCATGTTTCAAATAATTATCATAAAACGGAAACCGAACCTCATGTATAATCAGTTGGGGCAATGACGATTTCTGAATGTGACTAGAGGAAGCTAAATGTGACCGTTCAAAATTTACTTCTTGTTAACGCATTTTAAAGCATACGACTATGAAGAAAAGATGTTCGGCAATTTAAAATCTCCCAGCGAAAAATTTCTCTTTTATATTTTCAAATTAGAAAAAATATTTATATCTCTATTTGATAGTTTGTCAACTAAGCCTGGAATTTCCAACGCATACCTTTTTGAGATGAGCAAAATAGAATTTGGTCATCCTTGTCAACAATTTGCAAAAATGTACAGCATTAAATTATTTATAAGACTCAGAATTTTTTATACTATTAAATATGCAAACAAAGATTTGAAATCCTCGAAAAAGTCAGACAAAACCAAAAAAAAAATTAAAATTTTGTCCCATTTATAAATATTATGGATTTTTTTTCATCATAATTTGATTGCTTTATAAAAAAAGTTATTTTTCTTTGTAGTTTTATTTCTTAACTATTCCAATGGTCCAACTAACGTTTTTTTCGTAATCACAATAAATAAATTATTATCATGGTCCAACAAACGCTCACCTTAAGCCAAAACCGGCATCGCCTTTTTGAGGGAGCCGGTAAAGATGCCGCCTTGTACATTCGTACCTATTCTAGGTAATCTGTGCCATGGGTACAGCACGTCACGATAAGGACAGTGCCCCGCTTGTGACGTATAATTAATCGCATGTGTTCATCTTTTGCTAAGCGATATTGTCGTTGTCCTTGTTTTTCGCATTATAATGAGAGTGAAAACAACAGAGGCATAGTGCCCATCTTCCATTTAATTTCGGAATTCTCGTAACGTCGCTCAACGCCCGGTCGTCCAGTGTCGTGCCCACGATAAAACAATAATAGGCATTAAGGAAAATATAAAATATGTAAGTTATTTTTTTTTTGGTTTATTATACTAGGGCACGTGCCCAAGTGCACTTACGGGCAAACCGCCACTGCTCCTAACCAAGATTCTTAAAAATTCAAAAAATATTTTTGTCTATTGTGTATGCATGTTAAGACATTTTAAATTGTTGCAGAATATAATTTCTTCACGGCCACTACTGAATGTAGTTCTTTTGAAACCACATATAATATAACATAAAGAAATCATTATCGCTCTAGAAAATAAAAGAAAATTCTGAAACACTTGCCTCTTATGTATTTCACACGTAATTCATTCTAACTCTAGTGATAGAATGTTCATTAATTAATAGATACTGACCAATGGCTGTGAATACCACGCCAGCATAGTAGATAGTCATGAATTTTATGACTGGCGGTTCTACGTGACGTATTAGTATTTAGTTTGAATTTACCTAAATAAAGATAAGCGGCGTCCAACTAAGATTCAGAAATTGTGAATATATTGATTCTTATATTGAAGTTGATAATATTCCTCCTGAAAAGACAAATTATGCAAATTATGCAAGTGTCTGTGGCAGTGAAAAAAGTACAGTTGGTTATTCTGTTAGTCGGATTTCTCCCACTCGTATCGAATTTTTATTCCAACCTAAGATCCATTTATAATTTTTTAATTAACGGTTATGAGCAACATTTTATCCAATCGGTTTAAGTTAAGTCGTCTTATTTTAGGTCAAAGATTCTCCAGTTTTCTCCAGTGGATTTTTAAGTATGCTCAAATAAGGTAAAGTTTAGACAGAAACAACAACTCAGCCGTTTCTTACAATTAACAGTTTTCTATTTACCCACTCTAAAAACCATCTAACTTTTTTCTTTGTAAATAATTTTATTAACGCAAATGTGATTGTAAACTATAGGAAACATATTTTGTGATTCATAGTGTTAAAATACTGTAATGTTAATTAAATTAATAAAGGAAACTATTAGTATATATGTTATTTTTATTTAATGAATAGTGTCAGACTTATTTATCATGAAACCCAGTGAAATTTTTCAATTTCAAAAAGTGACATTTTTTTAGATAGGTATATAATTCATTTTAATGTACAATGGATGAACGCTAAAGTTTTACTAATTAACATTGCAACAGGTGCAAAAAGCTGATCTTCTGCCAAACTACAGAATAAATGATAAATCACATGTAACAAAGGTTTTACATTGCTATGATTTTTTATATTTTAAGAAATAGATTATTATGTGTAAACATCAGTGGCGGCTTGTCAGTAAGTGCTGTAGGGCTACAGCCCCCCTAATACAAGGGGAAACCAATCTTTATA